ATTCTGACATGTTTTCATATCTGAAGATGTTGAGTGGTATTTTCCGGATTTTTTTTTGGAAATCTGATGAAGGCACTGCAATTTCCAGAAATAGTCACTGATTTTAATGAAATTGTTTAAATGTAATTCTTCTATTTATGTTCATTTTCACAGGGGCTCAGTCTCTGCTGGAGAGGGTTTAGGTGTGGAAAATAAAGATAAAGAAGGAGAACCCCAAGGAGACAACTTTGATGTCTTTCGGCAAAGAATGATGCAAATGTATAGGCAAAAAATGGTCAAATAAATAGGTAAGTTGCTCGTTGCCATCTCAGAGAATGAAATTGTTTGCAGAGACTGAAAGGAGAACAAACTGAAGTATGGATATCCACAATTTAATTCCTTTCATTGGTTGCTTTTGAGAAGGATTGTTTATGCATGGTGCCATAATGTACTCTGTGCATTTGACAGTATCTCCCACTGTAATCCTGTTCTTCTAACACAGATGTGGGTGTACTCGTGCCATGCAAGATAAATGCCTGCGGTCACTTGCATTTAGCGCACCTTATTCAAGGTAATAGTGGCCTAAATCTAGAAACCTCCATTGCATCCATTTTGGGTTTTCTGGAGACATTCCATTTCAGATTGCCTAATGCTTGTGGAGGCTGGGTGAGCAAATTCCACGTTATTTAGTTAAAACCCATTGGACATATTGTACGTCAAACTGTCAAACTGCAGATTAAAAACACAGATAGAAACGTCTCAAATGCAAAATGCTGGTTTGCAAGTGATGGCAAAGATTTGGAATTGTCATTGCACCATCATACTCTAATGTTGACGTGGTTGTTGGAGCATTTAAAGCCAACAAGTTCTATAGCGAGTGCAGGCACTTTGTTCCCTCTTATCTTCCCACTCCGTTTCCATTCAGATGTGGTGGTTTCTTTTATCTCATTGCTCGCATTTTGGTGGCATCACTAGCTACAGTTGTAGTTGAAGATAATGGGGATTTTGGAAACCAACCACGATGTTTCTTTTTTTTGTGAAACTACAAATGACTGGATGTTTTTGGAAAGAAAGACAAGTGTGAAAAAAAAAAAAAAAGTTTGTTCTATATGCATTATATATGTAGTGCATTTTAGAATTCTTTTGCTATTTGTGACAAAAATTCTTAAGCAATTTTTGCTTAATACACATTACCGCTTACTACGTTTATTTCACTGGTTATGTAGAAAAAGCAAAACATTCTTCTGCTTCACACATGTTTAATTTGCATTATGGCTTTTAACGGGTCTAGCCGGAGGGAAATTACGACTCAAACTCACATACAGGTGATGTATCGCAAAAGTCACCTTTTTGGTGCTGGAGCAGAACAAACCAGAGTTTTGCACTCTAGTGCTTTGCTTCTATAGTGCCATCTTTTTTTGGGTTTCACAACAAGATTCCTTTGCAGAATTCCACCCTCACATTTTAGTGAGTTGTTGAACCCGTAAAGATGTGTGATGAATGACTGCATTATTCACAAAGCCTTTCATTTAGGGGCGGTGGAATATTTGCCGGTTAAACTTTCAGAATGCCAAAGATCTTGTTCAAAAAGAATTTTGGGGAGTTTTTTTTGTTTTGTTTTTTTTTTTAGTAAATTTTTTATTATTTTTTTTTAATCCTTTCAAATTTGGCACATTTTGAGGATTACAATACTTGTTACATGCAAATGTGATATAAGAAATTTAATGTTGCACCACATCAGCTTTTTACGTGTAGTGCCAGTCATGCTGTATGCTTTGCATTCCCTTTGGAAATGGGACCAGATCACATCATTAGATGTCTAAACTATTTTTTGAATGCCATATTTTTATTTTTTCCTTTCTAATGGAAAGATTGTTGTCAAAATGCAATGGACATTATGTTCCCATTTGCCTGGATTTTGCAGCATTGCACTTAATTGCAAGGAAGGCATTTTACAGGCTTGAACTTTGGTATTTATATATGTACAAATACTTAATTACTATTCAGTCATCAACTCCCTTTCTTTTTCAGTTTTGCAGATGTCCCGAAGACCACCACAATTCGTGAAATATTTCTGCTTACTCAACATTTTAGCTTGTATTTTGTTTCTTTTTACTATTTTTTCATCAATGTGAATACTTGCATGACAGTTATGCAGTTAACGTAGTTATTGAATAGACATTTGTAATTTTGTTTTATGTATGTTTTATTTTTTTTTTTGTTAGCTTACAGTTCTTAACAGCGTAAACGGTTCCGGACGGATTTAAATTTGCAATTGTCTTGTCTGTCTTTTATCGACGTAGAAACACAAGTCAACTGCCCATGAATGTTTAATTTTTTTTTTATTCTTAAATAAATGTGTTTTTCTTAGTAAAACTATTCAGTTGTGTCAAATGTATGAAACGTTGTCTAGCATTTACAGTTAACTGGGTGGGTAGATCCAGGGAAGGTCCATTTGCATGTTATGTTAAAAGGATCAATGTGGAATTCCTTTTGCATATAAATGATTAATAGGTTTTTTTTTTGTTTTGTGTTTTTCACATTGTTATTCCAAATTACCTGAAAATAAAGTAATTTGAGAAAAATATTCACTTGGTTTGTCTTATTAATTGATGTTGGTGTATTTGCATTGCTCTATTCTGTATTTAAAAATGTTTCAATGATAAGTGGTTTAGCAATGCTGTCTATAAGAAACTTGTAAGTGAAGCATTAAAAATGTAGTTTGGTATGTACAGGGATGATGTTCCA